TGGAATTTATTTAAGTGGTGTTTTGGTGGGTTTTTTTGGCTTGAGGTAGTGATTCCTCACAGAAACCCGGGAAATAAATACAAAGAACCAAAGTCCTAAAAAATTTTGTTTGAACTAAGCTATTATTTTGGCCAGGATGGGAATTTGGGGCTGAATTGCAGTGCTTTTTAGTTAATTATGTGGTGGATGTCCTAAGGAATGCTCAAGAGGCAAAGTTTTCCTTAGTATTAGAGCTGCAAATAAATTCAGTTCTAGAAACAAGAGGCCTCCTGATATTTCCTTGTTTTCTTTCCTAGAAATGCTTTCCTAGTGAAATCTACCATCCCTAAATACAGATTTGATGGAAAAGTAATGAATGAATTTATCACTGGGCTTTCTTACCTTGAAGGAAAGTGAAAAGGAGGCAGAAATTGTGATTGCTTTGTTTTCTTTATAATTTTATTTTTGTCTTTGAAGTGGTAAATGACTCAAATCACATTGAGGATTTGATTTGTGTTTGATTTTGTGTAATCCTGGAATGGTTTGGGTTGGAAGAGACCTTAAACCCCATCTTGTTGGGCAGGGACACCTTCCACTAGCCCAGGTTGCTCCAACCTGGCCTTGGACACTTCCAGGGATCCAGGGGCAGCCACAACTTCTCTGGACAACCTGTGCCAGGGCCTCCCCACCCTCCCAGCCAGGAATTCCTTCCCAAGATCCCATCTAAACCAGTTTGAAGCCATTCCCTGTGTTCTGTCCCTCCATCCCTTGTCCCCAGTCCCTCTCCAGCTCTCCTGGAGCCCCTTTAGGCCCTGCAAGGGGCTCTCAGCTCTCCCTGGATTCTTCTCTTCTCCAGGTGAACCCCCCCAGCTCTCCCAGCCTGCTGATTTGGGCTAAAATGCCTTTCTCAATGTGCCATTGCTGGTTGTGCCCATGAAGGGCCACCCCTTGCCCAGGTCCCAGTGAAATGTGTCCTTCCTCCTCCTCCTCCTCCTCCTCCTCCTCATCCTCATCCATTCCGGGTTCACCCCCTCCAGGGATGATCAGAACTGGCAAATCCCCACCCAGCAGCTGTGTCCAAGGGGGATAATTTCAGCTGGAGTTATAACTGGGATCAAATCCCTAATTCCTCTGCAGAGCCCTTGCTTGTGCATCCACATCCAGCCTCGGGGGTTTGCCACATTCCTCCAGGTGAGGAACCCATTGAGATCCTTGGGAATGGTATCTGTTCCTTTAGCAGCCACTTTTCCATGTTAAAGTTCTCCTGATTTGGATACTCTCCCACCTTCTGCTCTTTGTTGCCCCCTTGGAACCCCTCCATCATCTCCAACCCAAGCCCTGTTTGCTGCTCCTCTCCCTGTGCTTCGACCTTCTCCTTTCCTTGACTCCTCAAGTTCTGAGACATCTCCTACCAAGAATTATTTCCCAGTCTTATCCCTTGCCATGTTTTCCCAGACACTTCCAGCAGGGATGGTGCAGGACTCGTTATAATGTTCCTAAAGCTGTTCTTGGTCCCTGTTTTCCTGCTGGTTCAGATCCCTGGGATGAAGAGACACCCAAAGGAATTTGGGATTTCGCTGCTTGCCCACATTTCTGGACACCACAGTGGGCTTGTGGTCATTAAAAACCTCCTTCCAGCAGGAATTTTGTATGGAAAGTGCCTACTTCCAGCAGGAATTTTGGATGGAAAATGCTGCCTGTGCTGCCAGGGTGGCCTTGGGAAGACTGGAACTTCTCCCTCCCTTTGCCTGTTTGCTGCTGTCCCACCTTGCAACGCTCTCAGAGGTCCATCAGCCGACTGAAATTCTGATTATTCACATGGACAAGGTGGAAAAGAACAGCTTTGGAATTAAAATTCCGAGAGAAACCCAATCCCAGACCGGAGGCTGCATCTATATTCAAGATATGCTAATGGGCCGTTCCGTGAGATCTTTGAATTCAAGCAGGAAATCAGGGAACAATAAAAGCCTAAAAATACATGGAGAAAGGAAGGGAGAAAACCACTTGATGGTCTTGATAAAACCTGACTGATAGCTCCTTTTCCCAAGATTTTTAGACATTAATCCAGTGCCTGCTTTCTTTTTGTTGGCTGTCAGTGAATGAAAAGTCTCTCTCTGGGTTTTTCATTTGTTTTTTTCCCCTCTTTTTCTTTGTATTTTCCCCTCCTGGCACGACCTCGAAGCGCTGAACGAACGAGCTGCTCTCCACAAGCTCCTAATTTAATTTATTTATTATGTAACTGCCTGTAATTGCTGATAGGAAGCCAAGTTCTTGCTGCCTGATCTGCTCAGTTAAGGAGAGCCAGGACCAAATCAAACCCAACTCCGTTTCTCCTGTTTAAGCCCCATCACTTGATTTTATTTTTGATAGGCGTGACAGGAGCTCGTTGTTTATTTCTTATTTTATTCTCCCTGCAGAGCTCTGTGGCTACAGGAGAAAATATTCACAGCACAACCAACAATAAATGCACAGGCATCACAGGGGCTCAGTGGTGCTGCAGCTGCCTCAGTCCAGATGGCCAAATATTGGTGGCAAACGAAGCCTGTTGATATTTTTTTCTTCGCCTATTAAGTATTTTTGTGTGTTTAAGCATCAGATTTTGCCATTAGAGGGGTCTCTGCTGCTGGAGGACAGGCTGTGGTGCAATTTTTTTTGGCAGAGCTCT